AAGCTGGAAGGAAGCGAAAGGGAACTCGGCAGCAGAGTCGCTCAGTCACACAACTGCTTCTCCTGCGACCAGAAACCAGGACGCGGGTTGTCTAACTCTCCACGCCAACAGCTTCCGGGCGGTGACTGAGCTCTACCACGTGCCAGGCCATGGCCCTGAGCTTCACATCATGCCTCACTCAGCCCTCGAAGCTACACTTCCTCATTGCACAAATGACAGTTTTGAGGCTCACAAGGCCCGAGACTCTCGGTCTGGAGCTGGAGCTCTGACGAACCTCATTCGGCATCTCGCTGACCCTGAGGGTCTCTGGCCAACCCAGGGGCCCGGCGCCCCCCACAGAGTCTCCACTGGCTGCTACATTGCAGTCAGCCAGGGAGTCTCTGGGCTGGAGCCTGTTTGCCTTTTCAATCCCCCAGGTGATGCCGATGCTGAATAAACACACTGGCCAGGGTCAAGGCCTCCCGTCTTTGTTGGTTTGATAGGGCAAGGGAACAGTTATAGCACCGTGAGATAAATCCTGTTGCCAGTATTTTTTTTTTCTTTAATTCTCACTGGAGGACATGCTCATAGAGAGAGGGGAGGGAGGGAGAGAAAAACATTAATGCCAGAGAGAAACATGGATTGCTTCCCCTTACACGTGCCACGACCGGGACCAAACCACGGATCCACCACCTATGCCCTGACCGGGAATCGAACCCTCAACGTTTTGGTTTAACACACTAGGCTTCAACCACCAGAGCCGCACTGTCCAGGGCTGCTGTCGGTGTTCTGACGGAGCAGCGCCAACGCCAGGAGGCAGCGGTCACTGCAGCAATAAGCCAGGTAGGATTTCCCACGAGGGGTCCGCTGAGAATCCCGGGAAAACCTCCCGGTGGGGGGTGAGGGAGCAGAGCCCAAAGTACCGACCACCACCGGCGGGCCTTGCCGCAGACCTGTCTCTCCCCAAGACTCCCCGCCAGGAAGAGCCTGCAGGGCCACCTCCCGTGGGCGATCTTGCTGGGCTACAAGAGCCCCTTTCTCGGGACCGGCCAGGACCCCGTCTGGGCCTCAGATTCCGGCTGTGGGGGAAGGGACTGGAGCCCAGGAGATAAGACCCGCCTAGCAACTGTTGCTAAAGGCAAGTAGCCTTTGTTATTGAGCATTAGTAACACAATAGGAGGCTGAGCAGCCAGGATAGTCCATCAACATCATCCCAGGCCCTGAATTAGCCCCACAAGCCGCGGTGGGGGTGGGGGGGCAGTGCGGCTCAGCAAAGGAATTCCAGAGCAGACGGTTTTTAGTTGTTAATGTTGGTGGCGCCCCCGCTCCAGCGAACGGGGGCGTCAGGGCACAGGCTCTCCATTGCAAGAGGCCTTTGTTCCAGGGTCAGACCAGAACAAATGGTCCAGTCCCACCCGCCTCGGCCTCTCCCAGAATCCCAAATCCCAGGAGCCCACCACCTTCCAGGAAGGCTGGCTGCGGACCGTGGGGGTGGGCAGAGTGGGGAGGAGGCGAGCCGGGCAGGGTCCCCGGTTGAATGTCCCGGAGCCGTCGCCCCACCCAGCCGGGTCAGCAGCAGAAAAGGGGGAGCAGGACTGCACAGGAAACCAGGCTCCGGGCCTTTCTCTGTCCCTCCAATCTGACGGCCCAGCCGCCCTCCCAGATACCCCCACGAGGCTCAAGACGAGAGTCAGCCACCGTCCAGCCAGCCGAGGCCCAGGCCCTCTCCTGCGAGGTTCTGCCCGCTGAGGCAGGGTCGAGGGTCCCCCGCCCACACCGAGAAAGCGGCCAGGATTTGCCCAACAGGAAGCGGCTCTCTCTGAGGGTCCAGCCGGGGGTGGGGGATGGAAGCAGCCATGGGCACATCCTGGGGGCGCGAGTTCCCGGGCAGGAGGACTGGAATCCGGCCGGATGCCCCTCGGGGAGCCCCCGGAGGAGGAGGGGGGCTGCCCCCGGCCCTAAAAGCCTCTCAGGTGTGGTCTGGGCAAGACCTCCTGTGTCAGGGTCCCTGGAGGAGGGGGCAGGGCTGGGTCCCTAGCAGCCTCCAGCCCCGCCCCAGAGCACACAGTTAGAACCCTAGAAGGCCGGGTGCAACCCACCAGCAGGCAGGGAACCTATGGCACCCACCAGCACGATCACCACTTGGGGTCTCTCGGAGACCCGGGCGAAGTTCACAGTTGCCCCCAAACTCACTGGGAAGCCAGAGCTCACACGTTGGGACGACGATGTGGGGGCTGGAGAGAAACATTACAGGGGACGAAGGGGGAGACGGGACCCCTTCAGTTCTCCGGAGGCGGTGCAGGAGGTTGAGCGGCACACAAAGGAGGCGGGGCTCACGCCAGAGCCCGAGAGAAGGGTGGGCTGGGGCCCACGTTTGGAGAGAGAAGGGTTTTCCAGGCCCAAACGGGAGAATCAGTTGTTCCGGGAAAGGTCGTGTGTGACGCAGACCAGGTCCAGTGTCAGCTCCTCGCCTTCGTAAATTCTCCCCCGACAGCGGGTGCCCTCAACCCGCTCTGTCTTTTACGGGGAGCCCTGGTGCCCAGGCCTCATTTACGCAGTTCACGTGACTCGCGAAGCCTCAACGGGGGCGCCCAGCTGAGCCCACCCCCACTCCCCGAGAACTGCGAGTGGAGGCAGGCGTCTGCACACGGGTCAAACCGGCAAACACCTCGCACCTTGGTGCGTGGAGATGGCAGAAAGCAGGCCGGCAGCGAACCTCGGGGCGTTAACATATCTAAGGGGAAAGGTGGGTCAGCCCAGGAGGCCAAGAAAGGGAGAGTGGAGACTGAGGGAGCTTCGTCTCAGGAGAAGGGAAAGGGCCCCGACCTGCAAACTGGAATTACTGGTTCTGGTTCTCGAGGCGGGTGTATCCTTCTCTGGAGAGCCACTGAGTCCTTCGGATCCAACCGGGGCAGTCGGGTCAGTCGAGGGGTCCCAGGCAGAATTTCCCGTGTTTTTAGAGTGCACAGACGTCAGAGTCGCTGTCTACCGCATCTTTCCCAGAGAGGTTTTAGAGATGCATGTGGATGCCCGTGAACCCACTGTCTTCAGTAGTCTGTTAGCGTTAGTACTCCCCCCCCCCCCCGCCGGGCAAAGGATGATATATGTATAAAATCCTCAGCTGAAGAGACGTTTTGGAGGGGAAAGGAGAGAGAATCGCTGATGTGACAGAGAACCAGCAATGGGCTGCCTCCTGCATGTGCCCAGACCAGGAACCAAACTCACAGCCTTTTGACGTGCGGGGCGTCGCTCCAACCCAGCGAGCCGCCCAGCCAGGGCCTTGGTCTCGTTTTCCATGAACGTCCCTAGAATCTCAGGATCTAGTTGTGATGAGCTCCTTGTCCCACATGGGCTCCACAGAAGCGTCTAGAGCACCTTCCCCTGTGTTTGTGCTGCCGGCCCCTCTGCCCACCTTCTCCCTTCGGCTCAGGGGACCAAGCGTCACCTCCCAGGACTCGCTCCATCAGGCACGTCTGGTCTTCCCGCCCACCCGCCAGGGACCACTAACCAACGTGTGCCTTCTTGGTATTCCCTCTACACCTTGTAAATAATTCTTTTTACTTTTATATATTTTTAGAGAGAGCAGAAGAGAAGGAAGAAGAGTGAAAGGAGTATTGATTGGTTGCCTTTTGCACATTCCCAAATGGGGACCTGGCCCGCAACCCAGGCACGTAACCCAACTGGGAATCAAACCGGCAACCCTTTGGTTCACAGGCCAATGCTCAATCCACTGAGCCACACCAGCCGGGGCTGCAAATGGTTCTTTAACATGTACAAGAATATCCATCACATACATTTTCCACCCAGGAGTCTCCCAGAGACAAACTGTTGCCCTTCGTAAGGGCACCCAGCCCCGAGCCCAGCAGCACACAGGGCGGGAGCCTGCAGTCGTCCGGTGACTGGACGAGCAGGAGAGAAGAAAGAAATAGGGAGGAAGAGGCGGAAGGAGAATAGGAATAACGTCGGGGGAGCGATTACCCCCTAGGTGTGAGGGGCTGTCATTTGGTGCCAAAGAGTGGAATCGATTCCACTGAGATTAAAGAAGACGCTGGTGCAGAATGATCTGAGGAAACATCAGGAAGGAAACTTCTGAGGTTGAACAAACAGGAAATGAGCGGAGTCTGCAGCCCTGGCCACTGTGGCTCAGTGGGTCGGGTGTCGTCCCGCAAAGTGAAAGGTCGCCAGTTTGGTTCCGGTCGGGGCACAGGCCTGGGCTGCGGGTTCGATGCCCCACTGGGGCGTGTATGAGAAGCAGTGGATTGATGTGCCTCTCTCTCTCCCATCCCCTCTCTCTAAAAACAAGTAAATAAAATGTATAAAAAACAAAGAAGCAGAGTCAGCAGAAGGTGAAGGGGAAGGCACAGCTCAGGGAGACACTGAGGCCCGGAGCAGGGGCAGACGACGGCAGAGAGAGCGGCAGGTTCCTGGGCCTCTGCCTTCCCCACAGACACCAGGCCTGCACTGCCGGCCTTGAGCTCGGCACAGGACGGGGGTGCGGGGGTGCACCTGGGAGGGAGCGAGGCTTCCCACCAGCCCTTCTGCTGGCAGCACTGCCCACGCAAGACCCCAGATAAATAAATGCACCTGGGCTCCACGGAGGGTCCCCAGGAGCCTACTGATCCCCACTGTTCGAGGCAACCAGGTCCATTTCCCAGATCCTCAGCTGCGCCCCACACCAAGAGCATGGCCCCGAGGGGTTCAGGGGGGCTAACTTTTGATACAAAAGGAGATAGGTCAAGAAAGGTCCCCGAAAGAGGCCCTGCTCAGAGTCCAAGGCCAGGGGCCAGGATGAGAAGCAGGGATGAGCGGAGAAGGTAGGCAGAGGCAGTGGGGGTTGTGGCCCCACTTTGGCTGGGGCCGGCCCAGCCTGGTTCAGGGTGCCTTGCTCATGGCCCAGAAGGGCCCACGACCCCTTGGGGGTGACGCTGTCCTGCCCCGGCACGGCGGTGGGTGAGGAGCCCGTGCAGACCTGCAAGGCCCGCAGGGTGTGACTGAGGGTCCAGCCAGAGGGGCCGACTCACCGGCAGCAGCATGGCTCTGAGCTCCAGGTAGAGCACGTTGTCCTGGCAGAACTCCCGCAGGCCCTGGAACACGTAGTCTCTGAACACCGGCGCATAGCTGACGAGGCCCGAGATGGAGAAGAAGATGGTTTGGAACTTGGACCAGAGGACATCTCGGTTTGGGTAGGTCTCCTCGGGGTTCTCGGTCACCAGCGTGAAATTCCTCAGAAGGCTGCCAGGACACACAGGAAGCTGTGAGCAGTGAGTAGGCTCCCACAGGCGTCCGGTCCTCCTGGTCTCTCCCTCCCAGGAAAAGCCTCGTGGCAGGGAGCAAGGGAGCCAGGACAGGGGCTCCAGCTCAGGAGACGGCCCAGGCTGGACACCCCCAACCGCCTCTCCCATCCCCCTCTGCACACTGAGCCACCCGGCCCCGCTGTCCTCACCTGCGAGACCAAGCTCTCTTTGGTGGGTGTTGTGCAGTGAACTGTGACCCTCTGAGTCCATACATTGACACCCTAACCCCTGTGGGATGGCACTTGGAGAGAGGGACTTGAAGGGGACATTGGGGTTAAATGCAGGCTCCAGGGTGAGGCCAACATCAAGCCAGACTGTTGCCAGAGCCTGGGGACAGGGTGGGGGGCACACGGGACAGGCCTCGAGACACGAAGCCTGCTTGCACCTGGGTCCGGATGGACCTCCCACTTCCGGAGAATGAGAAAACCCATTGCTGTTGTTTGAGTCACTCGGTCTGTTGTGCTAGGGCGGCCCTGGCAGATGGATGCTGGGGTCTGTCTGATGGAAAGACACCTGGACGCGGCTCTGCATGGCCAGGTTCACACCCCAGGTTAGTGTGGATGACAAGGGGCCACCCACACATGGAGCCTGACCAGCTCAGGGGGGCTTGTGTGGCACCTTCCCCACTCAGACCCAAAGGAACCGCATGGGACACTCTCAGCCAAAAGCTTCCCGAGAGCGCGGTCCTGGCAGCATCGCCCCAGGCTGAGGGGGGGATCTTCCCCTTAGCAGAGCCTCTGTCCTCTGCTGCGTTTGTGTGTCTTTGATGACACACCTTTGGAATTTCCTTTCTCCAGACGCCTCCGGGCACCGGGGCAAAGGCCACCAGTCCAAAGGCCACCAGTCTCCTCATTGTTCCTATTCCCACGTTAACCGTTAACCCCTTGCCACCCTGCACCCACTTGTCTGTTCGCTTTACTTTTTATCCGGTCCCAGGGGCTTCCCTGCTTTGCTCTCTCCCACCTCCCTGATTGATCACCCATGGATTTCTGTAACCCCTTATGTCTCCTCCTTTGACTGTAGTGTATAAAATAAGGTGCAGAACTGCCATTCTTGGGAGCATTTTCTCAATCCATTGAGATTTGGCTTCCTGGCCATTGTCACTGGCTTGGCTGAAATAAACTCACAAAAATCCTCACAGGTTTGAACGTTTCCTACGTGGACATTAGCTGCTTCCCAGCTCTGAGGCCTTGTGCAGCTCCCTTAGCCATGCTGGGCTTCATGTTTCTCGCTCGTCAAGGGACACAACCTCATGAAACCCCATAGGTAGTTCTGCGATGAAAATAAGTATTAAACCTGGCTGGTGCGGCTCAGTGGATTGAGTACCGGCCTGTGAACTGAAGGGTCGCAGGTTCAATTCCCTGTCAGGGCACTTGTCTCAGCAGCAGGCCAGATCTCCAGTAGGGGGCGTGTGAGAGGCAACCACACATCAATGCTTCTCTCCCTCTCTTTCTCCTTTCCTTCCCCTCTCTCCAAAAATAAATAACAATCTTTAAAAAAATAGAATTATTATAACATTACTACCCAGGCTCGTTAGGAAATGGCTCCATCAGCGTTTCAAGCCATTTCACCCACCAGCCAGGGAGCCAGGGTCTTCTCTTCCTCGGCTCGATGTCCTGGGGCATAGAGACAACTTTCATGTGATGCAGCAACAGTGTTGCTGCTCATACAGTTTGCTGATCAAATTGAAACTTCCTGGTAAAGTTCCAAGAAAACACCTCTTGATTTTTTTAAGGCCACATCTGCACTGAGAGACCCGATGGCAGGCCACCTGCATGTGACCGGCGTGCGACGCGTTCTGAACCACCACTCACCTCTCGTCAAACTCGGTGACGTTCTGCAGCTCTTGTCGGTACTTCTCCAGCAAAACCCACTCTGAACACTCCGCTGGCGTTGGGGGAGTTGGGTGAGCAAACCTGAACCTCAGGGCCCCACGGTGGGTGACACAGAAGTGGCAGTGGGGCCTGTAGGTGACGTTTTTCACCAGCCAGTCCATGCGGAGGATGCTGAACTCGTGCACGTGCAGGGCAGCCCCTGGGCAGGGAAGGAGGAGGGCGAAGTGGGGGGCAGCAGCTGAGTCACTTCACCTGTGACACTTCCTCAGCTGCTAGCTCTCTGTCGAACCCCCCTTTAACTGAAGCCCTGGACCCCAACCCTGATCCACACCCCACACCCCCCCTCAGGGGTTTCTGGTCTGTGGCAGCTGCAGTTTGCAGCCCTGGGCTTGAGCTTCAGACCTGTCCCCAATTTCACCCCCCCACGCTCCGTCAGGCCCAGAACACACCGCACCCCTGGACTTCCTGCCCCGTCTCGGCACCTGGCTTTGACACTGGGGCCCCAGCTGGGGGGCTTTGCAGGGCCGCCCTCTCTAAAGCGTACGTTCTCCATCCCCTGGGGCTGCCCCTTCACCGACCTCATAGGTTTTACTTTTTGTATCTATTAATGACATCAAACAAAAAAGGCAAAGTCCTTGTAAGCTGCACATGGCTGTTCACGTGTGCAGGATGAGGATTATTTGACTCGCCATATGAATGAGTTTATGCCGTAAAAATATTCCACTGGAAACCTGTTCGTCCAGGACGCTCTTTTGAGCGTCCTCTTCAGTAACTTGGCCCCTGGAAGGAGGGGTGTGAGGGACGATACGCAGGGAAGACCAGGGTCCTGTCGGGCCCGGGACACTGTCTCACAGGTGGATGCTTTCCCGGCTTTGTCAGGAGGGCCAGCGACCCCCGGGGCCTGCCTCCCGCTCACTCTGTGATGTGGAGTCCCCGCAGAAGCAGGGTGTCTGGGTCCTGGGCGACCCCGGAGCACCTTGGGATCCCTCCTTCCCTAATTCGCCAGCAAGAACCGGGGGCAGAGCAACGGCAGGGCCCTAACAGCAGGGCCCGTAGCCCCCCAGTTCTGCCCCACCCCCCGCCTCCCCAGGACCCCAGCAGCATCCTGTCGACCTCTACCTTTCGGCATCTTCTTCAGGATGTGGAACACCGCACTTTTCTCGATGAGGTGCTTGGCCCGGAAGAAGTGCATGCTGGGAGGGAACTGCGGACTGTGCACCTCGGCCTCTTTGTGGGCCATGAGCACCCGGTTGGCCACCTGCTCCGCTCTGGTCAGCGCCAGCTGCCCGCCCAGCCGCATCGTCCGCTCTCTCCATAGCAGCTGCTTTCGCTCCTCGTCTATGGACCTGGCTGAGCAGAGGAAGGCTGTCGCTCCCACCAAAAGCAGGGAGTGGAGGGTGGCCCGCCTGGGTGGGGTCCCCCCCAACATCGGGTGTCTGGAAGAGGAAATGCACAGAGGGACTTAGCAACGCTCACAAGGGCAGTGCGAGTGAAAACCGGTGTTAAGTGTCGGTTTTCCTTCTCACTCCCTGTTCTCAGGGCACCAGGATGTGGCATGGGGAGGATTCTTCTGAGACCCCGGAGAGTAGGCCTCCAGGTGCCGGCAGGGAGGGTCCCCCAAACAGAAGGTTCCCGGAGGCCTCCTGGCAGTGCAGCTGCTCCGTCCGCACGTCCTGCTCACGGAGGGCAAGGCGTTGCAGTCAGATTTTTAGGGTCCTGCTTCTCAACGTGGCCAACAAGCAAAATATCAGAAGCCTCGCGAAGAGGGGCTCTGATGCGGTGAGGAGACTTACAAATAACACACAGAGAGAAGGAGTTGAAGGAAACGGAGACAATGAAGGAAATACAGGAACTCCAAAGAACTGGAATTAATACCTTTAGATATTTTTTTTTAAGATATTGTGTTTATAATATAGGAACAACAAAAAAACCCCAGAATGACAAAGAGCTTTTAGAAATCAGAATGTTGAAAACTGAAAAGTTTTTCTTATTTTTTCTTTTAATCCTCACCCAAGGACAGCATTTACTGATTTTAGAGCGAGAGGAAGGGGGTGAGAGGCGGCAGAAACATCCATCAGCTTCCTCCTATATGACCCCTGAGCAGGAACTGAACCCGCAACCTAGGTCCATGCCCTGATCGGAATCGAACCCCAAAACTTGTGGTGCACAAGACAATGCTCTAACCAACAGAACCACCAGGCCAGGGCCAAGCCAGTTTATATATACACACACACACACACACACACACACACACAAATTATATATATATGCACAAACAGAGGTGCAGGGATACGACAAAAACGACAAGTTTGGTAACCACTGAAATGCACTGCACTCGAGACCCTCCCCAGGGCCCACATTCGAATGCCCCACAGTGCGGCAGACACGTGTGGGAACTGGAGGACAAGTCACCCCAGCCTCGCAGTCAGGCTCGGGCTCTGTCCTGGACCCGGAGAGCGGGGCTGTGCAGGGTCCCCTACGACTTCGTCGAGTCCTCACCTCCCCCTCGGGCTAATGTTTGCTGCAAGGGGACAGTGGGGTCCTCACCACCCTTCCATCCACCCCACTTGGTGTCCCAGTCCCTTGTCTCTCCCTCCCTGGTGACACTGAGCAGAGGTCACCAAGTGCCCAAACCTCACCTCCATCGCCACTAAGAACCCCCAGAGGATGGATTCCTGCAGCCCAGCACTGGCACTTTTCCCGGCCCGCCCAACAAAACTTACCGAATGCTGGTCAGGGCCAGGTCAAGCATAAGGAACAAAATCTCTTGCTGTTATATTTACTTCCTCTTGTCTCTCTCCTTGAAATGTTTCTTGACTTTGAAAAGAGAGTGAAGGAAAATCCTGTAAGAACGCCTGGTTTCCAGACTAAGAACGAAGAAAGGGACGGTGCGTGCCTGAGGTTTGGAGGAAACATCCTTGGGCCCACGGCCCTTCCAAAGCCCTGCAGTGGAGATGCCTATGTCCTTCCTCCCACGGGACAGTGGCCAACGGGGAGGCCTGTGCCAGGTGAACAGAGACCAAGAACCCGGCTTCCCGCTCACCTCCAGGAACCTCTGGAGCCCAGTGCTCCACCCAGACCCCCACCCAGGGTCCCGGTTACCTCAGAGTGGCTCCAGAACCTGCAGACTGTTTGCTGGGTGCCCCGAAGAGCTGAATCAGAAGTCGGAGAAAAAGCTCACGGTCTGTTTCGCTTCCCCCGGAGGCAGGTTTCACTTCCTTCCAGCCTGCGCCAGCCACGGGGTTGCGACCTGCAGGACTGGACCGGCGGCCGCGGGCTGGAGCCGGGAGGTTGCTGTGCATGTGCAGCCTGCGTGTTGGTGTGTCTGCGTGGGGCAGTTGTGCGCGCGTGTTGGTTTGTGCTTACTTGGGGAGAGGGCACGTGTGTGCTTGTGAGTGTTGTGCCTTTATAGGACCCAGAGCAGAGTTTTGGACAAGGATCACAAGGAAGCTCGCTGGAATCTGCTCGTGAACTTGGGGAAGGGCACTGCTGCTCGAGACGTGATTGTGAAGGGGTGGCCGTCCAGTGGATGAAGGCTGACATGGTAGATACAATAAAAGGTGAGTGTTTTAGAGGGAGAGATCAGGGACATGAGGGCAGACAGGGAGGGGAAAGCCAAGGACTTTATAGAGTTGTCAGCCAGTAGTCATCGGCGATAACTCCGTGCCAAGAGGAACCTCCAGTTTGGGGTGCAGGCAAAGGAAACTCTAGTGCAGACAGCTCTGTTGTGTCACAGCTGGGCTGCGAGGCAGCGCGGGCTGAGGAAGTCCCGCTCTCCTGTGATGTGCCCTTCCTACTCTGCCCCGCCCCGCCCCGCCCCACCCCGCCCCGCCCCGCCCCACTGGGGTGAAACTCAGTCTTCAATTCTTAGGGAAGGGAAAGTGATTGGTAAAGTTAGAGGGGACCTGTCTTATATAGACAGGAATTCCTGCCCCTGGTCCTTGATTGGTCTGTCCTCATGCAAACTGCCAAATCCTGGCACTTTGGCCCAAAATGTACTTTTTTAAAAAATATTTTATTTATTTATTTTCAGAGAGGGGAAGGGAAGGAGAGAGGGAGAGAAACACAATGTGTGGTTGCCTCTCATGTGTCCCCCACTGGGAACTGGCCTGCAACCCAGGCATGTGCCCTGACTGGGAATCAAACCAGTGACCCTTTGCTTCACAGGCCCACACTCAATCCACTGAGCTACACCAGCCAGGGCCCAAAATGTACTTTCTGATTAGTCAGAATAGAGATGCTCTGATTGGTTGATGAAGATGTTGGACAGGGAAAGCCTCGCTCCCATTGATTGAAACGGGATCCCAGGAAGTCCTCTACAATGGCTGCTCAGAGGCCAGGAACAGTGTGGGCTTCTCCCCAAATGTGGCTTGTGGGGAGGCCCCTGGGAAGAGTCGGGTGCTAGGCACCCCTTTCCTTCCAAGCCCACCTCACGACCTTTTGCCCCCAGTGTACCCACAAATTCCCTAGAACTTCCACTTCTGCACCTCGATGGCTAGAACTTCTGGGACCCTTGTCTCCAGAGAGCATAAACGTTATCCATTTAGTAAACAAGAAGAAATCCAAAAGTGAAAATAAAAAGGACTTAGGAATTCCCTCATTAAGAGCTCGCGATTGATTTTTTTTTAAAGTAAGAGGGATCAGAAGGAACAAGCAAGGAGAAGGAAAGGAAGTTCATTAAAGCAGAAAAATAAGCAGGTAAGTCACTGATTTTGAACATAAATATTTTGTGGATCTTTGAAAAAACAGATTAGAACTACAGATAGAGCTTTTCTTTTCAAAAGCTTGGGGTGCGGGCGGGTCCTAATTTTCACATCCAAAGGGCTGGCTCTGGCTGGCAGCACTGGACTCGGCCCGCTGCGGAGTGCAGCAAAGCCAGCGGGGTGAGGGTCTTCCTTTTAAAAAAAGTTTGTATTGGTTTGTTTGTTTCTTTGTTTCTTTGAATCCTCACTGAGACTATGCCCATTGATTTTAGAAAGAGAGGAAAGGAGTGAGAGAGAGGGAAGCATCGATGTGAGACAGAAACATCGATTGGCTGCCTGTCGTCGGTGCCACGACCGGGGAGTGAACCACAACTCAGGCCTGTGACCTGCCCTGAGTCAAACCCGCAGCCTTTTCATGCAGAGAATGATGCTCAACCCAACCGAGCTGCTCAGGAAAAGCAATGTTTTTGTTTGTTTGTTTGTTTGTTTGTTTTTAAAGCTTCAGTAGAGATTCTTACCTGCAGCCAGGGCTGAAAAGCCCATTTCAGGAGACAGGTGCAGTGTGGGGTATTGTGTGTACAGCTGAGGAGGGAGTTGGTCACTGCCTCTCTCAGGAGCTGGGATGTGACATGACCTTGAGCAGCATCCCAGGGAGGAGGAAGGCACCGAGGAGCGTGCGTCCTCCTCAGCCTGCCACGCCAGCCGGGCCAGGTGTACCAGGGAGGAAGGCCAGCGGAAGGCTGGTCACGCCGGGTTCCCGGTATAAATGTGTGGACGAGAAAATGGGGGTTATGGAAAGTGACCTCCCAGGATGATCTGGTCATAAACTCCTGACTCGACCAGTGGGCCCTGGTGGGCAGTCTCGCCCCAGGCCTGTAACTTTTTCCGGACAAGGTTTGCCTTTGCCTCGGTGAGCCCTGTCCACCGTCTCTGTGCGGCCTGGTTCCCACACGCCTTTGGAGTGCCTCTTCTCAGACCCTCTAATAAGCGGTCAGCCTCTCGGACCCCTCAAAAGACCACATACTCTGAACGCCCCTCTACTCCCACTTTGCTTTCTCCCACCTCCATGGAATCTTCCTGACATTTCAGTGCATAAAAGAAGCTGCAGAACTGTTATTCTCTGGAACATTTGAGGTCTTGCTCCCCGGGACACATCATCAGCTTGGCCCAGATAAACTCCTATAAAACCTGAACCCAGGGTTTCACCGACCACTGGCAAACTCCGCACCGTGCTCCCTGAGGAACTGGGCGAGGAGGAGCCGCACCTCTGGGGACGATGCTGGCCCTCTGCTCCGGAGCACCAAAGGAAAGCAATGCCTTGTGAGAGCGTTCAGTGGGTGAACTGAACATCTATCAGGCTTTCACGAAGTGACTCATGAATCAGGCAGCTCCCCGTCCGTCGGTGAGAAGGGCAGTGGTTGGAAGGTGTGCACAGGCCCAAGGAGGGTGGGACTAAGAAGTTAAAAGGGCTGATGACTTCTGGCCGGGACACCTGCCCCTGGGCAAGGCAGGAGTCTTATCTGGCAGACACCTCACAACTGTCGATCGATCACCCCATTCCAGGCAGATTGGTTCACAATTCCTCTCCTGGGAGAAGCTGAAACTGTGACCAGGGTACTACCAAACCGGTAAATTCTGATTTGGTGACACAACTCAGCCAAAGTGACTCCATTTCAGTCTGTTGTTTCTTTTCCTTGAAGCCACCACAGGTTTCAGTGTCCCCTCGTCGATGACACCTGCGCAGCACGGGCCGCGCCCACCGGCCTGTGTCCTCTGAGGCCGCACCTTCTCCTCACTCCCTCTGCAAACACGGTGAAAATTTCCAGCTCTGTTTGGCGGGGACAGTGGGGCCGGAGGAGGAAAACCCTCTGTGGGCAACTGCTAGACAGGGAAGTTCCAGGCTGAGACCACGGCAACCCACAGACTAGTTCGAGGGCAGGAGGCAGGGGGCACAGAGCCTTCTCTGCCTCCAGAACAGCCCCAAACGGAACTTAGGACACACCTCCACGAGGATGACCTGCTCTCCAAGGACCCTCCAGCGTCTTCTCAATGTCTCAGTCAAGGTGGCGCCTAGAGGCCCGAGACCAAGATTTGGGGACTGTGCCGTCAGTTGTGGGAGGGACCACCGCCCCTCCCCGCAACTGACCAGAAACAGCAATTCACACCTGGAATCATCCCACAGGTGAGACAGAACCACCTCCTGGTTACGTTTCTCCACCCCTAAAGTGAAGGGAGAGATTTGGGGTAACTCCATCCCCAAAACCTGGAGCTTAGCACAGTCTGTGAAAATGTAAATGAAGAGCTTTCACTAGTTTTAAAGTTGCAATACAAGTAATGGATTGCCCCGGGCCAAAAGGATTACTTTTTATATGCAAATGAACATAACGAATCTTTAAGTGCTCCTTATTGTCAGGGTGATGAGCTGACTCAAGCGGAGGAAAGGGAAGCTGGGTGGGCTCCAGTGCTTTGTGAAAAACCGGCCAGGGCCCAGGAGAGAGAGGCCGGACAGGTGCTGGGGCTGATGGAAAGTTCTAGGGGTCGTGAGCGAGTAGAAAGAGCACGTGACTCTGAGTCAGTGGCTAAGGGTGGAAAGGAAGAGACTGAAAACCCAGGCGTCTGCTGAGACGGAAACAGGACAGGAATGTTGTGTCTCAGGGCTGAAGGCAGTGACTCACTACAGACGGGAGCGTTCGGCCTCAGCACCAGGCACGCTCTCCTGTGCTTCCTGCTCTCCTAACTCCTCTCCGAGGTGCTATCTCGAGGAGGATCTCTGCTTGCAGAACTGGGCTGCATTTCAAGTGGATGTGCTCAGCACCTGGCATGTGCTGAGTGTTCACTGATAAGGAAGTGGTTGATTCTTTGCCTCTGCTCAGTCATTCATTCACCGAGTATTTCCTGAGATCCCTGCCTGCCAGGCAGCGCAGTGGGTGTGGTCCCTGCCCTGGTGCGGTCGTCGGGCTACCGGGAGAGCAGGGACAAGCATAAACGGTTAACTAATCATATACATGGAAATCATTCCAGTTAGCATACAGAGAGATAATTGCATAGGACATCTGAAAGCACGGAAGTTAGCCAGAGGGAGAAGAAACATTTTTCGCCAAGGGAGTCCGAACGTGGAGGTTTTAAGAACTGAAGGAAGGATGGAGGCAGGCAGGTTGGCAGTAACGGGAAGTCGAGTCCAGCATGTTCCATGACGCCGAGAGGTGACGGGCACATCGACTTCCATCTGGGAGCCCTGGCCCCTCGGACGCACTGAGGGGAGACAAGGACATCTGTCCCAGTGGATTTTAAATAGGTTTGCACTCACCTCTCCACCGCTTGGCCTTGCCGGCGCCCAGGCCTGGGCTTCGCTTCTCAGTCTGCTTCTCCCCAGCCCCTGAGCCTGCCTGAAGGAGCAGCCTGGGACTGATACTGAGTGTGCACCCTGACCGGCGTGGCTCAGTGGGCTGGGCAACTTCCTGAAAATCAAAAAGTCCTGTGTTTGATTCCCAGTTGGGGCACGTGCCTGGGTTGCGGGGTCCCCTGGTCGGGGCACTTAGGAGAGGCAACGATCGATATTGCTCTCTCACATGTTGTTTCTCCCCCTCTCTTTCTCCCTCCCTTTCCCTCTTTCTAAAAATAAAATAAAATCTTTAAAAAAACTCTGAGCGTGCAGTGACTCCCTGAGGTCCCTTGTAATGGTGACAGTGAAGTTTGTTTGCAGGGACGGATTCATTGCTTGTAGGTCACCAGAAGGAATCACTGAGCAGGGCACCAGAGGAGTTTTTCAAGGGACCTCAGTCAAGCCCATCTCAGAGTGAAGCTGACTGGTGAGGCTGCTGCAGAAACCGGCGGGGTGGGGGACCGAGGGCGGCCGCTCACAGAGGTGGGGCGGAGTGGACAGGGAAGGCGGAGGAGGCCTGTGCTGCCTGCCCCCAGCGCCCGCGCCCTACAGTGAGTGAGTTCACTAAGGCAGATGAGGAGCCACGTTTACGAATCTCTTCCCAACAAGTGAAGGAAACTCAGAAGTGTGGGCGGTATTTAACCATGGCAACTATGACCCACCCGCCTCCCCTGACCTTGCTTCTGCGCGGACTCTGACTAACGAGCAGCCTGTGGGTCCGCAGCGCGTGTGTGAGGACCCCAGGAACTGACTTCAGAAGGTGCCGACTCTGACCCTCGGGCATCTGAGCTCCGGAAGATTTGCTGACCCTCAACCATGGAGCCAGGACAACTGAACCAGGGTGACGCACACCGGACCATCACTTGCCTGGTGGGAATGCACTGTGCTCCTCTGCATAGAGAACTTTTCAACCCCCTCTCCCTCCTCCTAAAAATCTCTGCCTTCAAGTGCTCTGGGGATCAAATGGTGGGGGGGGGTTGGCGCTCACCCACCCCTGCGCACGGGGCCCAGGCCTCCTGCTGGGTCTTTCCCACAAACCTGACGTTCTCCAAGTGGTCCAAGCAGGCCACTGCTCACTGGTCACTTCTGATCCGCCTGTCAGAGCACAGGAGTTGTTCAGAGTCGCCGCTCCCTGTGCTCACCCCTCCACAGAGCTCCGTGGCCGGTGTCCAGAGCCCGGCCTCCCTGACAGCAGGGACAGATTTCACCAGCTCTGGACCGGTGTCCCAGGAGTCACCGCAAGCGCCAGTTGCCTGGCCGTGCGCTCCCCCGTGGTATCAGGGCTGCGTGCATGGACGCTGGCAGGGTTGAGAGAGGCTGGAGGGGGTGGGAAGGGATTCTGTGTGGGGACAGAGCCCCTTCCTTTCCTCTGTAGGCAGCCTGGGGAGGAGCGAGCCCAGGACGCGGCTGGAGGGCAGTACCTGTGTGGGAGTTCCCACCCACGGATGTGCAACCACGGGGGTTTCCAGAGGGCTTGGGGCTACTCTCCAACAGAGGTCACTCCCGCCTGGGGGCTCTCAGCTTCTCTCTCTGTCATGCTGCTGGGACTGCCACAAAAACCCTGCGGACTGGGAGCTTTAAACAGCAGAAATGCATTTATCTCGGTTCTGGAGGCGAAAAGTCCAAAACCAGAGGGTTTGCCACTTTGCTCCCTCCTGAGGCCTCTTTCCATGGCTCAGGGACGGCTCCCTCTCTCAGTGTGTCTTCACTTGATGTGTCCTTTGTGTGCGCACTTGGTGTCTCCCCATGTGTCCAAATGTCCTCTCCATATAAGGACAGCCAGCAGATTGGATTGGGCCATCCTCACAGCCTCATTTCAACTTAGTCACCTCCATAAAGGGCTCATCTGCAATTACAGTCACGTTCTGAGGTGGCAGGGATTTGGGGGGCAACATGAATTTGGGGGCTTAAACACTGTCTGAGTCGGGGATACTGACCCCGGTCCATTCCAGCAGCTGAAGGGAGGGGCTGGGAGAGAACACAGAGCTGCGCTGGAATCAGCAGATCAAGTCTGGGTCCGACAGCCCCTGCAAACCTTCAGGAAGTTCTGTCTCGCCCTTTGTAGACAGAGAAAAAGAAAATCAGTCCTTCGGGTAGCAGCCGTCCATGGAGCCCCTCTCTGTGCCAGGCGGTGCGAAGCTGCAGCCGTGGAAGAGGAGAGACCAGGCCGCCTCAGCACCATGCGGACGTGGCCCGACCAAATCCGGAGGCAGTCACTGGCACCCCGCCAGGCCACGTGTCGCCGCATCCTACGCCATGGGGCACGGACCTCACCACAGCTGGAAATGGGAGCGAGGAAGACCAGTGAGGCAGCGGGCAGACGGCGACCACTCACTCACTCAGCCCGAAGCATCTGCTAGTCTCGGCCACGGTTCTGCGGCACGCAGTCCCTTCTGTTCCGAACAGCGAAAGCCGCTCAGAAATCCCCGGTCAGAGGGCCGACGTGGAATCTCCAGTTTCACTTCAGGTTTTCTAGAATCACGAGACAGTTCTTGCCCTGCTCCCCAGAGCCCCGCCCACCCCTACCGCCAAAGGTGAACTGAAAGCTGCCCCTCAGCTTCCCACTCCGTGGATGTGGGTGACCGAGCACTCTCAGCAGGCCCTGCCCCGCTGGCAGCGCCCGCCCTGGTCGGTTTAGGGGCTCCTGGGCTTGCAGGGGTGGGCGCATGCAGGGCATCAGCTGAGGGGATGGAATGTGGGATGGGAGGGAAAGAGGAGAACAAGGATGAAAAGCCGATGGAGTTCGAGAGACAGACAGAACCAGAATGAGAACAGAGAGCACCGGGCGCCGAGAAGCAGAACAGACTGGACGGAGATGCATTTCTCTCCCCATCATTTCAGGGCCAGGGATGCAGCCTGGCCTGGCCTGCAGGCAGGCTCCGCCCACCCTCTCAGACCTCGGACCTCGGATCTCGGACCTCGGAGAGGATCCTCGGTGTCAGCCCTCAGGGCGCGGGCTGCACAGGTAGCTTGGGGAGTCCTGCCACCAGGTTTCTCAGGTGAGCCGCAGGTTCCCCAGGTGCGGCCTCCCTCGCCTCCGTCCATGGGAGTCCACAGGGCAGCGACCCAGCCCTAGCGATGGCCAAAGTGCTTTCATCTCTGGTGACAGGTTGGGAATGTTTTTGAAACCCAGTCAGGACTGAGTATGTGAGGGTTCACTTTCGTTGACAAAGGGAGGGTCTGGGGCCTTCTTAGGAGCCTTTGTTTGAATGGAATGGAGATCAGGAGGACCAAACTAAATAAACGCAGATGGCCAGAGGCCGGAGGTGGCCCAGAGCCCGGAGCCCTGGAGGTCCAGCCTGCCCCAGGCTAAGGCCCATCTCAATACACAGGCCACTGCTGGAGCTGGAGGACCCAACTGCAGGGGAGGAGGCTGGTGGGCCACAGCATCCTCCCTGAACTCTCCTGTGTCTCTGGGGCTTGACTTCCAAGGGATACTCAGCAGCACGTCAGAAGCGGTGATTTGGTGTGGGTGTGGCCTTACCAACTGGAGAAGGATGCTGACTGTGGGCGCTGAGCAAGAACATGCCTACCAAGAAGGACTGGTGGCTCACTGGAGTCAATTTTTTTAAAATATTTTATTTATTTTTCGAGAGAGGGGAAGGGAAGGAGAAAGAGTGGGAAAGAAATATCAATGTATGGTTGCCTTTCACACGTCCACTGCTGGGAACCGGCCTGCAACCCAGGCATGTGCCCTGACTGGGAATCGAACCGCAATACTCTGGTTCACAGGCCCGCGCTCAATCCACTGAGCTATGCCAGCCAGGTGGAGTCAAATTTTTTAAAAAATGAAAATAAACACAGAGCCTAGCAGCCAACTCTGCCCAGGGAGGGGCCCCCTACAAGAAGCCTGCACTATTCCTACCATCTGAGAAGCCCTTGCAGAGGAGCTCCTGGGATTCTGTTTCAACCCCTGGGACCGAGGCTTCCCCCACAGAAGCTGCAGTTATAGCCCCATTGGCATTTTCACTAACCAATCAGAGTGGCAGTATTCTGACCAATCAAGACAGTGCCTTTTGGACCAATCAAACTATAAGGAGTCATCATTTGCATAAAAACAGGCCAATTAGGGACCAGGGGTGGGGACTCCTGACTACAAGTCAGCTCCCCTGTGGATCCCAGAGTGCACTTTCCCTTTCAATAATGTTTCCCCGGGAGCCTAGTGTGGGGTGAGGTGGAGTGGAGTGGGCCAGACTGAAGCAGGTAGAGCTGTCCAGCTGGAGAGGGGGCAGGGTCCTGGGCCACCTCACAGGGCCATGCTGAATCACAGCTGAGTTGTTTGCACTGAATAAAATCCCCTTCACCACACCCCAAATTGGAGATTCTTGTTGAATTGATATAACCAACCATCTGCTGACATAGTCGATCCTTCCTGAATCCCTAAGAAAGAAGAGCCTAAATCTGAGCTTCCCAAGAAGCACTACTGTGTTCTGTGAGGTGAGATGCCCACTGTTGTTTAGGCCACTTCTGGTTACACAGTGTTATTCGAAAGCAAATGCATCCCGGCAAGAGTGACACTGTGGTCACGAGTCCTGCTGCCAGTGTTAGGGCACTTCCCTGGTTTCCGTCACTTGCTCCATTCCCTGACCATACTTGAGGTGGCTTTCTCGTGTATAAAGCCACACTCGCTCTGCATTCCGGCCATCAACACAACAGATCAGTCAACCGTCTTCGGATCCAGAGGAGATCACCCACATTCTACACCCCTTTGGGTCCCACCGTGTTGGTCACAGATGAGTGCTCGACAGCAATGGAAGTGCTGGACGGAATGCCCCTGAAGATGCAGCACCCTGACCTTCAGTGAAAACGGCTCTGGGCGCTCCTCCGGGAGGGGACTCCTCCGGGAGGGGACGCTCTCCTGGCTCTTCTTGCCCTTGAGAATCGACCTTGGCCTGAGAGGGGAATTTCCTAAGCTTCCCCAGGATGAAAGTTTGAGCTGGGGCTGCAGCCAGGGACTCTGGGTCTGGGGAGACGACCAAGGCAGCTGCAGGGCCTCCTGGTCCATGAGAAGGCAATGGACTTGGGAGGAATAAATGAGTGTTCTGAAAGCAAGTGTTATACCCAGCTAGGAAAATTACAGCTAGGGCATTACCCAACCCAAATCTGCAGTTCCTGGAACAGGGTAATGAACAAACATCCGGGAACAATTGGGTTTAAAATTCTAGCCAAATAAGGTAACTAACCCGGGCCCGCCAGAAAGTGCCTGCCAGCAACAGCACCCACCAATCAGGGACCCTCGCCGTTTTTAAATAAGCCAATAGCTAACCGCCACCTCTG